GTATTCCATAGTATACATATACCACAGTTTATTATTATTAGTCCACTCTTGTGTTGAAGGGCACTTGGGTTGTTTCCACATCCTTGCAGTTACGCATTGTGCTACTATGAACATTTGCGTGTCAGTGTCATTATGGTAAAATGCCTTTTTTTCCTTTGGGTATATTCACTCCTCTCTTTTCCATTCCATTTGTACTGTATCTTTAGAACTAATGCCTTCTGATTCTTCTGTTGGATTTCATTCAACTCTGATTCTGACTCTCCTAACTAGTGTTGCATCTTTTCAAGTTTGACCCCACCATAGTACCATCCTACCCCAAACATCATCCTAGTAATGAAGAAGATAGAAGGATGTCATAGAGTTGGTAGAAAGTAATAATTCAATTTATAAATGTATTTAGTACCTACTTTGTTTTCAGTGCTGAGTGTTAAGAAGTCAATGTTAAACAAGACCTAAACCTTGCTCTCAGACTTTATCTCAGAGGTTGACAATTTTTTTCTGTAAAAGGATAAATAGGAAATATTTTAGGCTTTCTGGGCCACATATAGACTCTAATTAAGTATTTTTCTTTAATCTTTTTGTAACACTTTAAAAACGTAAATACCATTCTTAGTTTGTACACAGAGGGCCGAAGCTGATATTGGCTTATAGATGTGTAAGTGCAAATTAATGGGCCATAGGGTATGACAAAGTCCATTACAAAGCCAAGCCCAGTCCTAAGAGGAGCTTCTACCCCAATCTTGGGGGATGAAAGAAGCCTCCCAGAGATGATACGTGCATTGAACCCTGATACATCAAGAGGTGAACCTGGGGTAAAGTTCAGTTAACTCGAAGAGGGCAGGATGAGCAAAGGTCTAAGACAGAATAAGCTCTGGCATGTGTTGAAACTTCAAGTGGTTCAGTGTGGCTAAGTCACAAAATGTTACAACTGAAACCAGGGAAGGTAATACTGCAGAGTTAAGCAAGGACCAGCTGACAAATAAAGGAAAATGTAAACAATGACTTAGACATCAGGGTAAAAGATGTTAAGGAGAAACGTTAATCTGGGAGTGCGTTGTATGCCCCTCCTCCTCCATAGATTGGGAGGAAACTGAGGCCCTCAAGAGAAAGCAAGGTTTCAGTTAATCATAGTAGGTAGAAATGATATTTATGGGAAAGAAAACAAAAAGCACCCCCCAAATCAGGAATTCCTTGGTGATTGTAATGAATAGGGATCCCACAGCTTTTGGGAGTAGACTTGGAGGAGCGAGGAAGACAGAGAACAGCATTTCTAAGTAGTGAGTGTTGGAGATGGGAGTGAAGGAAGCAGAGACCATAGGTGCCCCGGGGGCATTTGCCAGCAGATGGCCTGTGCAGAGGGCAACTTCCTATAAATGCGCTCATGCGACTAGATCCAAGGTTCCAGCTGGGTTACATGGTTTAGTAAGTATTTAAAATGCATAGTTGTATAGAATCGTTTATTTAATTATTATTAATATATTCACAGATTTAGCATGTTTTTTGCTAGAGAGAAACATTTTATCCACCTAAATCACTTGAACGTATGTAAACACATATTTAGAATGTATGACATTAGATTATGGGTGATCTTCAGTGTTCAACATGCCACCTTTAGAAATGGACAGTCACAATTATTAATTGAACATTGTCACTGTTGTTGTTTTAGGACCTTACTAATTTAACCAGGCTGCGTTGCTTAAAGGATTTGTGTCTGAATGATCCTCAGTATAAAGCTAATCCAGTTTGTTTGCTGTGTAATTATTCTACGCATGTATTGTATCACTTGCCTTGCCTTCAAAGACTAGACACGTTTGATGTATCAGCAAAGCAAATCAAGGGCCTGGCAGATGTAAGTACATCCCTAATCTGGTATCTGTGACTTAAATTTTATTGGTTCTTTCTGGCTGTGTTCACATATGGTAAGTAAGATTATCAGGTCAGTTCTTTTGCCCCAGTGAACTTTATACATAAAAGTATATAAATAATAACAATACTAGGGTGCCAATTTTGATGATAATACTGAAAGGGGAAATAATAGAAAAACCTTGTCTCAAATCTCTACAAAACTGGAAGGAAATTTGAAAAATTATTATAATTGGACTAGTACCATATATACAAATATTAAAGCTTAAATGACAATAGAAATGTAAAATTTTAAGTGGATCTCTGCAAACTGCCATTCACATCTCTAAAACCTTTTTTTGTTAGATCATAACTGTGTACATTACTGCAATTATGGGGTACAATATGCTGACTCTATATACAATCTAGAATGTTCATATCAAACTGGTCAACATATCATTCACCTCACTTATTCAGTTGTTGTGTTTAGACATTTATACTTGACTTTTAATATATTTGACATGTACACACCTCTGAAATCTTTTTTTTACATTCTTGAAGAAATAGAATTTTTATTTTTATTTTTATTTTATTAAATCATAGCTATGTACATTAATGCAGTCATGGGGTACAGTGTGCTGGTTTTATATACAATTTGAAATATTTTCACCAAACTGGTTAGCATAGCCTTCATGGCATTTTCTTAGTTATTGTGTTAAGACATTTATGTTCTACATTTAGAAAGATTCACATGTACCTCTGTAAGATGGACCATAGGTGTGATCCCACCAAACACCCTCCCTCCACCCATCCTCCCTTCTCCCCTCCCCTCTCTCTCCCCCATCCCCATATTCTTGGACTATTATTGGGCTATAGCTTTCATATGAAAGCTATAGATTAGTTTCATAGTAGGGCTGAGTACATTGAATACTTTTTCTTCCATTCTTGAGATACTTTGCTAAGAAGAATATGTTCCAGCTCCATCCATGTAAACATAAAGGAGGTAAAGTCTCCTAGATTAAAGATTTAAATTTAAGACACGAAACTATAAAAATATTAGAAGAAAATGTAGGGAAAACACCTATGAAATCTTGATGAGAGCTCTTCCGGGAGCGCTGCTGATAGTGCCTCTCAGGAAGGGAGGCACTTCAAGGGAACAGAGCTCCTAGGAATTCTCCATGCATATGAATAGTCTTTCTGTATTGTATTTCTTCCTCTCCTTTAGTCCAGCACCACGCCCCTGCTCTATTTGTTTATTCAGTTAATAATCCAGTAAGGAGCTATTGAGTATCTAGTGTCCCACGCCTGTGGGTGCCCCCACATGAGGCCCCTCCATCTGTTTCTGTGTCTCAGCTATCACTTCAATATAGGCAAAAATTGTCTTTGTCCAGTTACCTAGTTTCTCTTCTCTTGGTAGCCTTAGGATTTATTCTCTTACATTTTCTCTTTACTTTTTTCTGAAACTGAAATTGCTCTTTGCTCTTCATCCTCCAACTAAAAAGCAAACTGTCTTGTAATACTGAGCGAAATGCCAGTATTCTTGTCTCCTACCACATGTTCAGAGTCCTTGTAGGGCTAGCGCAGGATTCTTCTCAACAATGCTAATTAAAAATAATAGCAAATTTCACACTATCAACCATATCTTTCAAATTTCTACTATTATCTCTATAGTTTTACTTTAGGCAAAGATTCTGCAAAGGGGAACAGGGTGAGCATGCTTCAGTAAATTACCTGCTGGTTCCCTTATCTAACTTTATCTAATAGCTTTAATATTCCAAACGCAGTTCAAGGCACTAGAGATACAGAGTGAGGAAACCAATTCATACTTTCTTGGAGCTTACATTTGACTGAAAGAAGACAATAATAAGCAACCAAATAAGTGATGATGATAATAAATAAGTCAGATGATGATAAATGCTATGGAGAAAAATAAACCACGGTGACAGAAAAGAGATTATCGATGGGGGCAGAGAAAAGAATTTGGCTATTTTGTTGTACTGGACTTGGGATAAGGTGGCATTTAAGCAGTGACCTGAAGAAAATGAGGGAGCAAGCCATGTGATACGTGTGGAAAGAGGCTTTCAGAGATCAGCAGGTGCAAAGAGGTGGGAGCATGCCTCCAGTACCCAAAGGACAACAGAGAGGCAGTGATTTTGGAGCTGAGGGTATGAGGGGAAGGGAAGTAAGAGATGAAGACAGGAATGGAAGGGCCAGATCACACAAGACTCTGCAGAATGTTATAAGGACTTTGGCTTTGACTTTAAGTGAGATGAGGGCCAATGAAAAATGTTGATCAGAGGGATGAAGGGATGACTAATGTTTTAAAAGGATCCTTTTGAATAATGAATTAAGAATAGAGGATTAGAGGGGAAAGGTGAAAGAGAGACCAGTTGGGAGATTTTTCTAGTAACTGAGATGAGAGGTGTGGATGATTTGATACAAGGTGTTAATAGAGGAAATGGTAAGAAGTAGTCAGATTCTGGTAGTATTTACAAGGTAGAATCCATCTGTATTTGCTAATGGATTGGACATAAGATGCAGAAGAAGGAAACAAAGAATAATTCCAAGTTATTGGCCAAGCAATTGAAAGAGTAAGTTGCTATTTGATGAAATGAGGAAGAGTATGAGAGGGGTATGTTTAGGAGGAAGAATCACAGTCTGATTTCAGGGATGTAAAGTTTGAACTTCTTGAAGGGAGGTCATGTTTAATAAGTAGTTGGATATAAGAGTCTGATTTTAAGAGCATTTCCAAGATTGGAGATAAAAATATGAGAAGTGAAAGCTGAAAGATGGCACTTAAAACACAGACTGGATGAATCACCAAGGGAATGGTGTGGATGGGGAAGTGTGTCCATTGGATGTTAAAGTCGGGGAGATGAGGAGGAACCTGCTAGCTGAGGAAACTGAGAAGGAGAATTGAAAGAGGCAAGTTCTTCTGAGCTTCTGACTGAGATGCTCAAGTATACTATGTCAGGAGTAGTATTGTTTAAAGACCAAAATAAGGATTTATCACAGTTCCTGACATCTTAAATTATGTCATTACATTTAAGTTAACAAAATATTTATTCTTCCTTTATCTTTTAAGGTAAAAATAAGAGAGATAACTTAGTTCAACTTTTGATTCACACCAAAATGATTTTTACAATTCAAAGCATTTTTAATTTCTGGATTGATATAAATTTTAAAATGCTTTCTTCGTTGCTATTTGTAAGAAAACAATTTGTGGCAATTCTCTGTACTGAATTCTTGAACAGAGTGCTATTGATTCTTCATATTTTCACCCACGACTGTAGAGGAGTTTGCGTAAGCTATAAATGGCAAGAAAAGTCAGAACCCCCAGGAGGACCATCAGGAGATCAGACTGAAATAGAGAGAAGAATATGGGAGTTGGAATTAGAAGACTTGGATTCTACCTGTCACTTAGGCCTAGCCCTTTACTTTGCTGAGTTTCAGTTTTCTTAACTGTTAAAGTGAGGATGATGAAAATAGTACCTTTCACCATGGTGTTATTGTGGGGATTCAATGAGTTAATATGCAATTAACAATTAACATAGTTAATAACAAATAGCTATGTTAATTGTTACTACAAAAATAATCACCATGAAACTGTAGTTGAGCATATTTATGTTTATGACTTTTAATTCTTTCTTGGATTAAATTTTTTTTAACTTAACATAAACCTACAACTGAGTCATATTTAGTCTAATTTCTAAAAAAAAACCTTTCTGTAGTAATGAGTAAGTAGTTTTACCAAAGTCTTGAAAATGGCTTTGGCATTAATTCCTAAAAGTACAAATACAAAAATCAAATTGCACATAGTAAGCCTACAAAGTTTATTTGCCTTTACATTTATAGTTTACAAGACAGTCTTCCCTCCTTCTCCAAAAGCAAGAAGAAAAAAAACCTTCTTGATTTTTATGCTATACTAAGTGATTTTGGAAAAGTATAAGAATATCAAAATATAAGAATTTATGTTCCTACATACATATATACATATTTATATGTATATAAAATAGAAAAACAAAGTTGAAGAAACTGTGGCAGGAGACACTAGAAACTAAAATCAGTGGTTATTCATGGAAGATGGGCCAACTGGGAGAACGGGCCACGTGGGTGGGAAATAGGGTTTCATCGTAGATCTTTCAGTTTTTGGTTTTTGAAATGTGAATATGTTGCTTATTTAAACTATTTTAAAATAAAGCAAAAAGTAGTACTTTCTAGATAGAATATATTAGTATAATTGTATAAGTTTAGTATGGTGTTAAAACATTTATTGTTGGCTCGGCGCCTATAGCTCAACCGGCAAAGGCCCCAGCCACATACACCTAAGGTGGCGGGTTCGAATCCAGCCTGGACCTACCAAACAACAATGACGGCTGCAACCAAAAAAATAATAGCCGGGCGTTGTGGCAGGCGCCTGTGGTCCCAGCTACTTGGGAGGCTGAGGCAGGAGACTCACTTGAGCCCAGGAGTTGGAGGTTGCTGTGAGCTGTAATGCCACGGCACTCTACCCAGGAGGATAGCTTGAGGCTCTGTCTCAAAAAACAAACAAACAAACATTTATTGTTTATATGAAATTCAAATCTAACTTGGCATCTTGTATTTTATCTCACAAAAGAAACTACCTCCACTCCATTTTCTTTTGATGTTTTATTTTCCCCTTTTATCTTTAGTTCACATGTAATAATTCTACATATTTATGGGATACAGAGTGATATTTCTGTGTTCATATATAATATATAATGATTAAATCAGGACAGTTATATCTGTCTCAAACATTTATTTATTATTTGTGTTGTGAACATTCAGAATCCTCTCTTCTGTCTTACCGTGTCGCCCAAATCATAGTTAACTGTGTTCACCCTGCAGTGCTACAGGACACCAGGATTTATTCCTCCTATCTAGCTGTAATTTTGTATCCATTAATCAACCTCTTCCCATCCGTCCTCCCTCAGTCCCCTTCCCAGCCTCTAATACCTACACTTCCACTCAACTTCCATGAGCTCA